GAGAAGGCCACACCTGCTTCAAAAGGCATTACCAAAGAGACAGTTGAAAAGCCCATATCCCCTCCAATGGTGTCTTCTGTGAACTATTATGGCTTTATCCTCATAAAAGATCACTTCTGTGGCAGAGAAGCAATCACCCAAAGCCAAAGCAACAATTGAGTTCTGAGTTCTCACCATTATTGACTCCTGCAGCAAGTAAGGCCTTGCCTGAGCCAGGTAACGGGTACACCCACCCTATGAAGTAAGCACTGTTTTCTGCCCTCAATTTATAGGTGAGGAAATTAAAGCAAAGAGAGCTAAAGTCATTGTGTAAGGTCACCTAGCTAGGAAGTGACCAGGTTGGGTTCCAACCTAGAATCCAGCTCCAGAACTGCAAGCTCTGTCGAATCACCCATGCTCACTTCCCCTAGCCTAACCTAAGGTGCTCTTGCTTACACTTCTCCATCCTTGACCCTGAGCTCCTTGAGGTCAGGTTCTATGTCTTATTTATTCTATTTGTTCTCAAATCCTCTCAAAGGATATTTCTATAAATGATGCTTAATAAATGCTACAAGTCTATCCTTAAATCTGCACCACTGCAGAGGACAGCAATGACTAAGCATTATGCTAAGCACATTGTACATATCTTCCCCTTGGACTCCCTGGGATTCTCTTAAGAAATAAAAACTACTGTTACTCCAGTTTCACAGAAGAATAATGGAGGCATACACAACTTAAGCTTACTTGGTCCCACAGTGAGGACTCTGATTGTGACACTACTCCATCACCAGTGTGCTAAAGGAAGGACCTAACCCACTGCCTGATAAAGGGCCTGATGGAAAGGGCACATCTTCCAACAGAAAATCAAGGAGTCTTCCTGGAAGAGGTAGCACTGGCCTAGATCTTAAAGGATGGGTAGAACCAAGACATACGCACAGATAGGGCAGGTCACCCTGTGCAGAGAGAATTGTGTGAGCAAACATGTATAGGCAACAAATCGCAGCTTTGCAAGAAAACAAAACTACTTTCATTTGGCTGCAGCTCAGGATGAATGAAAAAGAATGTGTGAAACTGAGTTAGAAAGAAAGCCAAACTATGGGGGAGTTTTGAATGATAAGTATGGTAGGGGTGGATTTTAGTTACTGGGCTACAGGGAGCCACTGAATGCTTTTGAGCAGACAGTAATACATCCAGATGATTTAGCAATCAGAAAAAATGGTAGAAAGCAGAAGGATATAGGAAAGATAAAGAGCAATGAGGATTACTAGGTATATAGGATCAATGTCTTCACCTGGCATGGAGAGGAGGGAATGGACACAATATAGAATTTAAAGCCACTGATAAGGTATAAGGATTATGACCAAGGAAAGCGTTAAGAGAGATGTTAAGGTTTCCTCTGGCAAAGAGGATGACAGTTCCTTAACAGAGGCCATGTTCTAGGGAGCACAGACCCTGGCAAGGCTGGTGGGTGCAGAGCTAATGAGCCCTCTCCTTTACACTGAGCATGTTCCAAGGGGTCAAATCTAAATTCTATGCCATCTGCCCCTTCAGCCAAGAGAGCTCCAGTGGATAAGTGGGGCTTATCTTTCATTTCTTAACAATTTTTCTTTCTAGATTTGATTGATGCAGGGTGATGTATGCCTGCTATCAAAGTCAGGCATCAATAGCCACCACACACACACACACACACACACACACGCCCACCACCACTAATGACCAGAGGCTTAATGAGGCCCCCTCTGCTCTATGAGCTGCATTAGCGAGTTGATCCAGTAATAGAAGACAAGACGTACAAATTGAAAACTAAAAACTTCCAGATTTCATCCTGCTTCATCCTGCTTTTCCTTATGTCACTTATTTTATGCTACATGAATTGGATATTAGTTTCCCCGTTTCGCTGAAATGTCGGATCACTGGGGTAGCTTGAGCAGACTCAATTTCGCTTCGAGTAATAGAGTGAGATTATTCAAAATTATTTCCAGTGGGCTGCTCCTGCCTGTTCCTTCTGTTAGGAGAATAGAAGTAAACAAGTCGCCACCCTCCTAGCGGGCTGACACCCCTGACCCAGCGCCCCTTCGCCTGGCTCCTTAATCGTGAGAGCATTTTGGTTTTAGCCATGCTCAATTAACTCATCCAGGAAAAAGTCCAGTCAGAAAGAGTTGATTTAAAGTGAGATAAACTGGGCATCTGCTTGGAAAACCAGATGATCCCAAATATGTCTTTCATCGTGAGAAAACGAAGAGCTCTCTCTACATATAAAGCAGTAACTTCTTAGCAGCATTATTTTTTTTTCCTTGAGAGTTTAAGCAGTAGCAGCAGCAATAAATGGGAGGCTTCTCCTGGGATCCACAGGGCTGTGCTACCAGGGATGATGAGGCTTCCAAGGTCCCCACAGTGCCTGCCCCACCCCTGGGTCTGGCAAGGCCAGGTGTAAAGGGCTGGGGAGTCAGAGTTGAGTTTTTCTTTAGTTCTAGACACACACAGCTGGCTTCTCTCCTCCAGTTGAACACAAAAGAGCTGAGCCAGCACTTGGGAAAGTGGGATGTCAACATTTTTTGCTCAAATTTGATAAGCAGCGCAAGATTAGCACCTTCCTCCAGTCTCTATTTTGAACAATGTTTCTTTCAAGGCATCCAAATTGGCAAAAAAAAAAAAAAAAAATCCAGGCCCTGCAGACAGTCCCGAAGCTTGTGGAGAGAGGAAGGGGTGGGAGCACTGAGGGGCAAGGGAAAGAGAATATGTTCTGACCAACCCTAAATCCCCAACTTTTTCAAAGCAGCAACTTTCACGCAGTGTGAGGAGTAGCTTGCCCCACCCCCACAAGAATTTTCTACCACAGGAGCCCTCCTTGGGACTGGTTCCATGATGTTCCTGGCTAAGAAAGGAGGCCAGACGGTGAAGCATCTGTCCAGTGGGCAGGAGGACCCAGGCCCTCCGTGGCCTAGAGTCACCCCAGGCATCCTGCTTCAACTGTGCTGAAAGCATTACATGGCACAAACAAGCTGGGGAAATCAAGGACCAATCCGAGCATTAAAAACAGGCTTTTCTGGCCTCCCAGGGAAGGCTAAGGTTTCGACTCTGCTGCCATCTCCTCACATTTTCCACTGATGTCACCCCAGGCAAATAATTGGTGGAAAGGAGACTTAAAGGGGAAGAGAGGGGCTGTGTGAACAGAACCGTGGGATGGAGAGAAAAACAGGGCTGGGACTGGCCCCAGCTGTGACCATGCGGCTCTCACTCTTGCTTGGCAAGCAGGACCTGGGCCAGCCATTTGCTGCAAAATGAAACCTTCCTCTTATTCCTTGACGGAAAGCATGCTAACAGAGGCATTCTCCTCCTGCAGAGAGGACACATCTCTGCTTCTGCCAGACCTGGTCATTTTATGCTAGCTTGGGAGGCAGTGTAGTAGGTAAACTGAAGCTGACAATCTGCAAACAGGCTGGTGATCTGGCCCTGCCTCCAGTGTGCTGTGTGACACTGAAAGATCTGCAGCCAAATCTGGTGCTTGGCCAGTGACTCTGATTGTATAATAGGCTATTCAGTGAGTATGTTAGCTACAACCAGTTTGAAGATTTCTATAGATAAATAAAACCAGCTGGAATTCAAGACATCATTAAATGCCTCCTATGGGCCAGGCATTGTGCTAGGCACTTTGTCTAGCACATTTTTATTTGACTTGTGTATTAAAAAAATTATCAACTACCTGTTATGTGTGATTATTTTTTAGATAGGAATAAAACAGTAAGTAAGACAGATATGGCACTCTACTCTCTGAGTTTACATTCTAGTTTTCTCATTTGTAACTGACAACACAATATTAAAATAGTAGTAGCAGCATTAGTTGTGTTTTATAAATGAAGAGAAGGCAACTCTGAGAGATGAAGTGACTTACCCAAGGTTACACAGCAGTCACAAGCAGAGTCAAAAGAGGAACCTTGGTTTTCTGACTCTGAATCAACTCTGAATCCCCTGAGCAAATTAGTATGGAGTGCTGAAGCAGTTTCCCTAGTCCATGAAAGAGAAAGAAGAGAGAGAAGGAAAGGTATATAGAGAGATTACCACTCTGAAATTCTCACAACAAAGTATTTTGGAAAATGCTATCTTTAGCTTTCATGCTTCAAGAGGCCAAAGCTGTGACCTGCCCAAATTTTATTCCTTTACTCCAAATATTTCTTATACCAACCAGGCAAGAAATGCTGAAGGGGCCAACCAAAAAAAAAAAAGGCTCTAATAATAATAATAATAGGCTTACATTAAACCAAATAAAGTCATTCTGAAATGACTAAAGAGAAATAGCAGAGGAGAAATGCCCCTGGGCTCACACTCTGTTTATGCATTGCACATTATACCTTTTCATCACAATTACCTAAAGTGGTACATTTGTACTTCCATAATGTATGGAATTCATTACATAGTTTTGCAATGAAATTATCACACTGTGCCTGGGACATCTGCACCCTGTCATACATCATTCTATTCATTTCTAGTTAATTTAATCCCAATATCTGCCCACATGATAAGACAGATGTTCGGCTATGCTGCAGCTTCAATGGTTTTCTGCCTTGAAGAAAGTTGAAGCTGTTGAAAGAAATGACATCTCTCAGACAGAAAGCTTATAGTATTAAAAAGTTGAGGTTTTTGCCTCTTCACCATTATTAACTTTATTATTTGTTGTTCTATCATGGTAACCTCTGCCTTGAGGATCAACATGTGAGTTTATCAGAGGCAAAAGGCTAATGGGAGTGTTTCTATAGCCATTGAAAATGAATCCCCATCAAAACTGGTTTAGAAATATCTGCATGTCACTAAAAACAACTCTAGACATTTCACCCTATTGCCTTAGTCACATTTGCTGCTTCAAGGGGAGAGGGAAGGAGACGGCTATTGCTTGAGTCTTTCCTGTTTGCCTGGCCAGTCTAGACATTTGACTCATGTGATCTCCTCCAATCCCCAGTGCCACCCTGGGAGGTGGCCACTATGGTAATCTCCCCCACCACTAGTCTGTGACTTTTTCTCCACCGCCCACCCCCGCCATCCTGCCACCTTTTGATCAAGTGTCCTATACTAAAACATGCATGGGTCTTGAAGACGGCTTCTCTTTGGTATGAATTCTGGCAACCAGGCACCATCTGAGTAGCTTGGGGTAAGTTAACCTCCTTGGAGTCTTAATTTCACCACTTGCAGCAAGTAAATAGTAATAGCTATTTCAGAGAGATGTGAAGATTAGATAATGCATGTAAAGCACTGAGCATATGCTTGGCCCAAACATGCAAAGATGATATTATTAATACTTCAAACAATAAAATAGCACCCTAAACATGTCTAGCATAATTCCTGACTCAGGGTGGCCTCTAAGACACAGTAGGTGTTAGTATTAATAATTCTATCTTTATTATTGTTATTCTGCACCATCAATTCTATTACAATGCTTGCTCCCAGAAGCTATAAGTTAAAATTAATTCTAAGTTTTGCAATGGCCAACTGTTGTCTATATTAGATCACGCAAAAATTGCAGTGGACCCTGGAATGCTGAACATATTTAAAGTGCTGGAAGTGCTGGGTATGGTGATACATGCCTGTGATCCCTGCAACTTAGGAGGCTGAGACAGGAGGACCACAAGTTTAAGGTGAGCATCAGCAACTCAGTGATGCCGTAAGCAATTCAAAATGAAAAATGAGAAGGGCTGGGAATGTAGCTTAGTGTTAAAGCTGTGGCTTCAATCTCCAGTAACCCACCTTCCCCCAAAAAATACCAGAAGTAAGGGAGTCACAAATGAAATAAAAGCCATCATTCATCTGGGCATGGTTGTACATGCCTGCAATCTCAGCTACTCAGGAGGCTGAGGCAAGAGGATGGTAAGTTCTAGGCCAGCTTGAGCAACTTAGCAAGATCCTGTCTCAAATTTTAAAAGAATTGGAGATATAGCTCAGTGGTAGTTCTTTCCTAGCAGGTGAAAGGCCCTTGATTCAATCTCCAGCACTGAATAAAACAAAAATATAAAATAAAAAAGCTGGGACAGAGTGGTATGTATGCAATCCCAAGTATGGCTGCCCCCTGAGGATGGGAAGAATCACTACACTATAGATGACAAACCTAATTGTTTCCATCTCCATTTATTCAATGGACATTTAGTGAGCCCCAACTAAATGCCAAACAGAGATATAGACACTATATTATTGTGAACATAGACATATACACATGTGTCATACATACATTTATATTTAATGTAGAGATATATTTTGCAGAAAGTGTCTAGATCATGGGCTTAGATGCACCTATTCATATTTTGGGCTCCCCTGCCACCTTATCAAGCACATTGCTCACTAAGTTGCAGGCACATTGTTCAGGAGGTATAACCCAGCTCTGAGAGAGCCTTGTAAATCCAACCCTACCAAATTCTGTCATCAGAAAAATCTGTAGTGTCTTCTTCCACCATCTGAGGGTTGTTGATGGAAGGAGACACTGTAGATTTTTCTGTTGATGGAATTCAGCAGAATTGTATATACCGGCTATTCATTTTCTGATATTCATGGTACCATGGTACTTCTGCACTGTATCTTATTTTTCTTCCTTCTCACTAGCCATAGGAACAGTAAATAGGTTTTGGGTGGTTTCATTGAAGCCTAAAGTCTGGTTCCATACCCACATGTGTCATCATATCCCACAGCAGAAAATTATCCCCACTTGAGTCACTCTTTACCGTATAACTTGGAAAAAAAAATGGGGTATTCAGCAGCTAACCCATAGATGATCTGGATAAGGAAAAAGACAAAGAGAATATACTGACTCTGTTAACTCATCTAAGAAAAAGCCTGAGCATTTGGATGCTGGGTGGACCAGCAAGAGATAATAGATTCAAGAACTGAGCCAAAACTGAGTAAATATCAAAGTACTTGGGTTGCTGAGCAATGTTATGAGAGGTGGAGGATGGGAATGGCATTTACCCTTCAGCAAGCAATCCCTGACCACCAGTCCTTCCTGATTAGCAATATCCATGCAAAGCCAGGATGCATGATGACCTGGTGCCCTGACCAGAATAGAGGAGTCACAGTATGGCCTTAGAGATCAGCCAGTTCGATCTTATTTTATAGAAAAGTGAGACTGAGAAAAGTGTTTAGGCTACTAGCCCACATCTTTTCTCACTGCATCTGTTTGTCCTGGGGTCTCAGATGCCTTGTCCAGTGGTAGGCCCCATGGTGGATGCTCAGTGACAGTTCACTGAATTAATGTGAAACAGGGAAAAATAAATAAGTAAATAAATAAATATTGAACAACTAAAAAAATAAAATAAAAATAAAGAGAGGCATGGCCCAAAGAGCCCTAAAGATATACTACGTTAATGGAAGAGCCACCAGTAAAAACCAGATCTCCTTGCCCAGATGTCCTCCACAGTTCTGATCACCAGATTCACCTGTCCAAAATCATGAACCCAGAAGGGCTTATTGTAAGTAATTGGGAAGAGAATCCCATTGCTTCCATCAATCCCAACATTGGCCACTATCCCAAGTCCTATAACACTGTATCATTATTTAAATTCAAGAATCTAAAGTCACATCCCTTAATTTTCAGGGTATCTATTTCATCTTTAACTTGAGGTGATTGGTCCGTATCACTCCAATATATAAGACGGTTTCTCTTTACTCAATGCTGAATTCTCTGTACTTTGAATGGTTCCCTGATATGGTATGTCCTCTGCAAATCTCTAATGAATGAACAAGTGAACTAACAGCCCAGACACTCAATCAGGTTTCAGCTCATAGGCTGACAACTATTAGAAGTAAATCCCTAGAATTCTGCTTTAAGAAGAAATTGAAGGCCCTTCCTGGACTTTCTGGGAAAGAATGCTATGACTAATTAGTAAGGCCTGCCATGGGCTCAAGACCACATAGAGTGGCAGAGTATCTGCTATGCCAGACAAGATAATTAGGTAGCAGGAGAAAAAGAGAGGGAAAAAAAACATGCAGTTTGGTTTTGTAGAAAGACACTAAGAGTGATAAATTGGAATCAAAGGTAGGTTAAAAGATAAAAACTACTATCGTCTCCCTCCCAATTACTCTGATTATGATGTTGACATGATAGGAGGAGAAGCCTTCTTGATATCCATACAAGGCTTCCATTTGAGGCAAGCATAGCACTCCCACCAGCACCCTGGGAATTTTGTTTCGGGGGCTCTTCCCCACTCCTGGAGCAAGTCCACTTTCTAAGTGGCAGAATTTGGTCAAGCTGTTAGTATATTCCCAAACTAGAGCAGAGTCCTGCCTGGAAAATGCTTCTGATTAGTAGGAGGATACAAAACTCAGGTTCTAGGGTCCAACAATCTGGCTTCAGCAACCAGTTCTGCCAATCATGCTTTGTTTGAAATAGGAAAAATGATTTGTCTTCTTTATGTAAAATAAAGTAATAATATTGTATTATTGAAATAATAGTAATAATATTGTACCATAAGACTGGACAAAATTAAAGGGATGAGCATTCCTTGTATCTTTGCTTTAGGATTCTACTCCCCCCACCCCCACACACCCCAGCTCCATTTTGTCTTTGACCAGCCACTCTCAGGAAGCACCAATATTGTTCCCCAAGAGCCACCATTGCTTAAGTGGATGGAAAAAAAGGGGCCTCTCCTCTGTGGTTTGCGGCAATACTAGCTGCTTTTCCTAGATTCTGGAAGCCAGTTTAATATTGAGTTCCCTGGCTGGGGGCCTCCAGATATGCCCTGAGCATATTGAACTCCAGCTGTTGAGCTGAGGAACAGCTGGAAATTACACAATTGACACCTAAATGGAGGCGATGATCCCTGCACAATCACCTCTCGATTACCTGCACGTAGCTTTCTGCCTCAGCCCTGATGGTTTTTCTGTGGTTGCCCAAGCCCATGTTGACTTCCCAAGCTGGCCCAAGCTGGGACAATGGTTATAGGGTAGTGGTCAGGGGGGTGATGTGTGTGTGTGTGTGTGTGTGTGTGTGTGTGTGTGTGTGCAGCTGATTATCGCAGTGAAATTGACATACAGCCTGAGGAGTCAGTGCATATTGATTTCTATCATCTGTATCTCTGCTTCCTAATGTATCAAAAACTTACAGCATCCCTTCAGACAGTCATACATAGGGCAGAGAAAAGCCATTCTTGGCTGCTTTTCAGATCTGGGGCCTGCAACAGCAATTGCTCCAGAGAGATTATGCAAGGAAGGCAGAATGGTGTGTTAGGAGAAGCACAAACTTCTGCTATTGCAAAGTCCAATTCCCAACTCTGCCAAGTCCATCTACATGACCTTGGACAGGTATTTATTTTCTCTGTCTTACAAACACATTTGGGATTAATGAAAGACACAAAGATTCAAAGCATGCTAACCCCTTATATAGATTATTTCATTTCTCCAAAGTCCCTTAGCTTAGTCCCTGGGCAATACTGCCTTCCTCATTTTGGGCATATTAAACCTGATCCCATACAGGTACCTGTACCCAGAAGCCTTGCCTAGATCCCCCTACCCACCTCTTCACTGCTCTCTCCAACACAAATGGTGATGTCTTTATGGTCCAGATAGAGTTGGAAGCCTCCCTATATCCTTTTCAGTGTCTCATCTCCTTATATGAGAAAAAAAAAAGCATTATGCATTATGGCGCAACTATAACCTTCCAGAGGTGATAGTTGCTGATAAAGTCATCAAGTGTCCTTCCTGATTTATAAGTGAGGTTTCTGAGAATCACAGAGGCAAAATGTCTCACCTGCACTCACATGAGTGATAAATAAAAGGCAGATGGCTTTAGTAGCCAGCCAGGGGCGGAGAAGCAGCATCCCAGCCAGATGGCAAAATCACAGGCCCCTGACCTAAAGCTTGCCCCTTATTTTTGTGGCAGTGACACAAGAGGAAACCCTTGGGGTGACAATGGACACAAGATGACTGCAGGAGCAGTGCTTAAGGCTAACAGGGAAGGAACTACATGACAGAGACCAGGACAACTGGTGAGGATATAGTTCTATGTCTGCACAGCCATACTCAGGAAAGGACTATTTGGGCAGGGAAGTGGGAAGGGAAGACTCCAAGAAGAGATTAGAAACTTACCTTACTATTTACTCACAATTCCTGAGATCTGTGCCATGGCTATCCCTTCCTAGGCTAGAGCAGCCTAAAGGCTGATGTCTGACAAGCATTTCCAGAAAGAGTATCCCTCTCTTCCACTGCATGGAGAGACTGTACAGCAAGTGCCTGCTCAGAACCAGATGCTGATTGAATATAGCAGTTAGCAAGACAGACAAGGTCTTTGCCCTCATGGAGCTTTTGTTCCTATGAAAGGAGACAGACAATAAGCACAAAACACCTAAACAGGTGGTTTGGGCCCTGGACTGGTACTGCCTGCCTGGCTGCAAAATTGGATATCTGAGGAGAAGTTGATTGTTATGAAGATTTTTCTGTCTCCACTTCAGTCCCACCCTTATATTAGGTTGGGTTAAAAATGTGAAATGCTAAATGCCCTGCAATGAAATTTTCACTTTTATACAGTAAATATTTATCCTGCTCAAAATGCCAGATGCACCAAGGTTGAGAATGCTGTGGGAAATGCATAAAGAAATAAGAATGCTCCAGGTAGTAGCAGATGCTTGGTAGGAAAGAAAACAGGGCAATGTGAAGC